ACGTAAAAATAGGTAACAAATAGGTGAAAATAAACTGACAAATTAAAAAATATGTAACAAAAGTATAAAAAGGTAGTTTAAAGCAAAAACCTCCAAAAAAGAAAAAAAAGGTGAAAACAAGTTAAAAAAAATAGGTAACAAAAGTATAAAAAAGGTAGTTTAAAGCAAAAACCTCCAAAAAATGTAAAAATGGTGAAAACAAGTTAGGTTCATATAAAAGAAAATCTTTTAAAACACATTTTGGCATTATTAGTTTTCAAATAGTTACATCGGTTGAAAAAAGGTAAAATAACTAAAATCCCATCCCTACTTATGAAGAAGCGTGAAAAGACAAGCTTATAGTGCTAGTCTACAACGCGACAATGATAAGCACATTAGTACTGCAGTTATTATTTAAATTGGCCGAAAATTCATTTAAAAAATGCTTTTTTTGCTCTCACGGGGAACATGATTTTCATGATTTTCACAAACTACGTTTTCAACAATATGTTACTATAAAAAATACCCCCCAGTTTCACTACATATAAAAAAGATATAGACGGTGTATCACTTTTTCAGAAGATATAAAAATTAAAATTATTAAAATTTTTAACAAAAAATAACATGCTGCGGGGAAATTTATGTTTCATTTAATTATTTGTTCATTTTTATATATGAAAACTAGAGTCTTTATTTATAAATACAAACAAATATTATATCTATTTGTTATAATTATTACATTAAAAAAATTAAATTTTTTAAATAATAAATTGTTTCTTATTGTAAAAGGTAGTTTTTTTCTATAAATACTAATTCGAGCGGTGGCCGTGTCTACGGCGCGCGGTAGCGCGCTGTACCGACAGCTCCCGCACTCGGGGATAAATAAATTCATATTGTTTAAACTAACAGCGAGCAGTGGAATTTTCTTGCAGAATATTTAACCAAAGTGTACAATGCATATAACTGAAATAAAACAAATTTATAATTTGAGGGAGAAGTAACTAAAATTTTTATTTGTTTATTTAAAAGTTAATTAAAAATATGATAAAAAATAAATAATTTAAAATTTTGAATTGTTTTTCAAAATGTGAATATTAAACAATAAATCCTAAAAATTTCATCAAAATATCTTTAACGGTTTTTCTGTTATCTATTTTTTAATTAAAAGTCTCCAAAATTTTCATTGTAAAAAATGAAAATTTAAAAAAACTATTTTAGGGTTTCACTATTGAAGGTTGCTTTATATTAAAATATATTAATTTGAATCCCACGATCAAGTGGGAAATGAGGGGTCCACTGGACGTGATCAATTTATATACAAATTAATTTATTTATTATACTTCCTAAATAGGGACAAAAATATGGTACTTTGGCGACTGGGTGTGCGCGTAGGTCAGCGAATTGATTGATTGGGTATACACAAACTTAACTTTATTATATACACACTTATACACAAACTATATACAAACTTAGCGTGTAATTACCCGGAGCCGATGTATTCAAGACCAAGAATTAGGACGTAGTGATCGATGACAGCTCCAAGATCTTCCTCTGTTGGTCGGAGAAGGGAGTAGGTATAAAATATTTAAAACGAGGCAAAAATCCAAAAAGTAATAAAATCTATTATATTTTTAAATTTAATTTATAAAGGTAAAGGAGAGGTAAAGGTAAGCAAGTTATGCAAATGATGGGAATTTTGCTGTGTTGTTAAACGCATCCTAAACTAGTAAATTGTATAGTCTGCAGATCTCAGAGAGTCTTGTTTCATTTCTTGGAAAGCTCATGTTAAATAAAATTAAGTTATAAATATATGTAAAATACAATTATGTAACATTCTGATTCTTGCTTCTGTGTAATAAATATCATCTTATGTTTTAAGTTGAAAATAAAGTTTTTAAAAACAGACTTTTTAATTTGAAAAACTTAAGTAATATAAACATTAATTTTTTACATTGTTTGAAATTGGTGTAATGAATGTGCAATAAAAGAGTTTTTTTAATTTTTTTAAATAGGTAAAAAAGTAATATATTAAACGATTAAACAAGTAAAATCATTAATAAAAATAAGGTGCAAAATTATGCTGGGTGCCATAGCTACTCTTTTTGAACCCTATGAAGCTCACGGTTCTTCAAGTAAATTTCCTACAGGGTGATATGTTAAACGGTGAACAATTTTAATAACTTCATCCAAGCCCCGTTTGTTACAAAATAATTTTTTTCTCGTTTTTACTTTAAAATAATGAAGTATTATGTCTTACCTTGTAGCGTTTTTCAAATTTTTCGAATTGGAATGTTAGAAACGAAAATATGATTTTTTTTCAAAAGAGTACATTTAAGGCTTTTTTGTAGTCAATACAGCTTTTTTAGGAACAAGAAGATAAGATGGTGAAATAATGTTCCTTAAATAATTCTGAACAAGCGACAAGCAACAAACTTCTATTATTTTCAGAGGGCCTAAGCAAAGACCACTTTTTCAAAATAACATTTTGGTGAAATTTTGAGAAAACTAAACCTGAACCGATATTTACGTTCGTGACATGTTTTCTTCATAATTTTGACATCCTGATTGTGATTCAGTTACCAAATTTAAGTTTCAGATAAAACCAAAATCAAAATCCCGGCTGTTAAATGTCTCAATAAAATACGATTGCTATTTTTTACTGTATTTTGCATCTTTAGTACGATATTATCATGTCGTTGAATAATCAAATCGAGGATCAAACGAAAATTAGTTCTTAAAAAAAATTAAAACGCATTATGAGGGATATTCTTGATTTTTTCAGTTTGCTTGTGTTTTTCAATATTTAGAAGTTTTTTTGCATAAGTTATACCTACCCCTATCTTACCCAGGTTACTTCCATTCTTCCTTTAAATGATTAAAATACCAATGCTAGACTTTGCTGCAGCACATCTCCAAATCAACGGTTCGCATAAGATTGCACGAAACGGGAGGCAAGGGTGGCTTTTGGAGGTGGAGGAGTGACTGTTTGGGGTGGAATGGCGATGAATGGAAAGAGCAATGCTTAGAGATACAGAGATTTCGTTGTGAGTGGATGAATTGGTAAATGCAATTCAGGAAGAATGGGATACCCCAGGAATTTATAAAGAACTTGGTTGAGGCCCAGGAGGGTTAACGAATTATTACGGGTTAGGGGAGGGCCAACGAAATATTGAAAGTTATTTTGGTTATTTTTTGTTACATTTTTTCGCATAAAGTTTTCCAAAATGAACAAACATTTTTTTTATTTAACTTTATTACCAATTAGGTAGGTACTTCTCAGTGATAAGTTATCACTAGTGCGCAATGTAAATGTAGGTATATTATGCTTGTCGCTTGTTCAGAATTATTCAAGGAACAATCTTTCACCATTTTATCTTCTTGTTCTTAAAAAGACTGAGTATTGCCTACCAAAAACCCTTAAATGTACTCTTTTGGAAAAAAAATCATATTTTCGTTGCTAAGATTCCAATTCGAAAAATTTGAAATCCTTTTCAAGGTAAGACATAAAACTTCATTATTTTAAAGTAAAAACAAGAAAAAATATTTCTTTTTTCAAACGGGGCTTGGATGAAGTTGGTGAAATTTTTCACCGTTTTACATATCACCCTGTACGAAATTTACCTGAAGAACCGTGAGCTTCATTTCTATAGCATGAATTGCCAGAGGATGGGGCTAGTAGACATTTCAGACCAAAATAAAATCGTTTAAGAAACAAAAAAGTTATGTCGTTTTGAAAAAGACGAACTTTTTGGTCGCGACACATTGAGCAGTTTATATTAATAAATCATAGATATAAAGGGTGTCCCATTAAGACCGCCTATTTTAAATTTGGTGTCATTTTTTTTGTGTCAATCGTATATCGTTGTTGTTGGACAGTGGTCATGTGTAAACATTGAGGTTAAGTCATGGAGATTTACACGGACGCACAACGCATAGAAATTCTAAAAATCCACTATCGAAATGGTGACAATTTTTCGGAAACGGTTTGAAGATATCGTGGTTTTTTCGTTCACCATAGGGCACCTTCTCGCCGTACTGTGGTCCGATTAATCGAGCAATTTGAAACGATTGGGTCAATTCAAACCAAAAAGAGACATGTCCGTGTTCGTGCAGCTCGGTCTGCTGAAAATATTGCAGCAGTTAGTGAAAGTGTTGAACATAATTCTTCCACCTCGATTCGCCACCGTTCCCAGCAATTGAAACTCTCTCGAAGCAGTTTACAAGGAATTTTGGCCAAAGACCTGCATTTTCATGAGTACAAGATTCGGTTGAAACAATATTTAAAGACAGCAGACCATGCACAGCAACGAAACCATGGAATTATTGAGGACAAAATTTGAAGGCAGAGTTATCTCGCGCCGCGAGGATGTGATGTGGCCAGGCCGATCATGCGATTTGACGCCGTTAGATTTCTTTCTTTGGGGTTTTTTGAAGGAAAAGGTTTATGCTAATAACCCAAAAACAGTTTCTAAACTAAAACATGAGATTCGACGCTTCATTGATAAAATTGAGCCGGCACTATGCCAAAATGTAATCGAAAATTTTGTCAAAAGAATTAACGTGTGCCGTCAGTCACGAGGCGGTCATTTATCTGATATTTGTTCCATATTTAACCTCCATGTCTTCCCTCTTTATTGCAATAAAAATATCTTAACTTTTTAAATAAACACGGCATTTTTTTTAAATTTTAAAATAGGCGGTCTTAATGGGACACCCTTTATATATTACACCAAAAACTTACATAGGTAACAAATATAAGTAAAAAACTTAAATTATTTAAGTTTTTAAAATTATAATATTTATAGTTTTACAAGTATGTAATTAAATGAACATTGCATGCATGCTTATTATCCAACGTGTTTCTTTGTTTCAACAAATGATTTTGCTGCCTATTTTATTTGTTGAATTAACTCTTATTAAGGCGAAAACTAGAAAATAAAAATACATCAAATGTATAATACGCTATCCCAAGTAAATCACGCGTCGTCTGAGAGTGTGCGCTCTAGATGCAACAACGTAAACGCCGCTACAGATCGCGTTTTTAGACTTTGATCGTGGTTAGAAAATTAACGCTATTTGTTTGTGCAGTTGCATTAGTGATCTTAGTCGTGTATTAAATGTGACCTGGAACTACGGTATCACGATGAACTTGTCACGACTTCGATTGATTACCTTCGATGTGACAAACACGTTGTTAAAGTTCCGTTCGGCACCTGGCCAACAATATGGAGAGATCGGCGCGATGTACGGGATTTTGTGTGACAACGATTCGCTGAGCGCCAATTTCAAAGCGCACTGGCGTAAAATGAACCAAGAACATCCGAATTTCGGTCTCAACTCCGGCCTGGGATGGGAAAAATGGTGGAAAATGATTGTCAAGGGCACTTTTAAGGATTCCAGGTTTAATGTTGAAGATAAAAAGCTGGATGCCATCGCATCACATTTAATTGACGTCTATAAAACATCCGCTTGCTGGCAGCCGTGCTATGGGACACAAGCACTTCTTTCCTATCTTAGAAATCGCCAAGTAACTCTGGGAATTATATCGAACTTCGATCCAAGACTGAGCACCACTCTAACAAATACAAAATTGAGACATTTTTTCCACTTTGTCTTGACCTCTTACGAAGTCGGAATAGAAAAGCCAGACACAAAAATCTTCGACAAAGCTCTTCAGATGTCAGAAATTAATAATATTAAACCAGACGAGTGTTTACATGTGGGTGACACTACAGCTTTAGATTATTACGGTGCGAGAAATAGTGGCTGGAATGCAGTTCTTATTGACGATAGAAGTGCAGAGAATTTAAAAAAAAAATATCCCGACATTGACATAAAATGCGTTTTTCCAAGCCTTTATGATCTCCATAAATACCTGGTGAAAACTGACAACTGCAAACTATCTGCTCAATCTCTTTAACATATGTATGTAAAAATTGTATGTAAAAATTTATAAGCATTTATTTATTTTAATGATTAGTCTAATTTATATGTAAACAATTAAATTGTATCTGCTGTTTATTATTACTAAAATATAAAACTTTGTGATATTGTAAATAAAATAAGATTTCAAGTTTTTTCAATAAATTTTTAATTTATTAATACGTTTTATTTATATTAAAAAAATTATAAACAACAAAAATGATTATAATTATTTTTTATTAATATAAATTGCCATTGCCAGTTGTCAATGTCATTCAAAAAGAATTTAAGAGCTTGATACGCAAATAACAACAAAACAGATGACACATACACTAAACATTGAGATTTACTGTCTGTCCACTCTAAGTTGGCGGAACTAAGGAATTTTGTAGTTTAGATATTAAAGAATTGTCGTACTGTGTGCTTTTAAAACAGATTTTATATTATAAATAATACTAGTATATATTATATACTAGTATTATTTATAATATAAAATCTGTTTTAAAAGCACACAGTACGACAATTCTTTAATATCTAAACAACAAAATTCCTTAGTTCCGCCAACTTAGAGTGAACAGACAGTACCTAACTTAATAATAAGTACATTTTAAAATGCGGGGTTTTAAAATAGAAAAACAAAAAATTTTTGCAACAGAAAAAAATATATATATAGGTATATCCTTCTATCTTTATATTCAGTTTTTAATTATTTAAATTTATAATTTGAAAAACGTGTTTTTTATTATAAACTAACTGTACAGGGTGATCCCCTATAATGTATATTTGTTATGTAGGTACTAAAAATACTTTTTTTCTACGTATAAAGAAAATTGGAAAATTTATTAGTATACAGGGAAAAACAAAAAGTTTACTTTTTTTCAATGGATCACCCTATATATGTATTTATTTTTCGATTCCTTGTAAAATTCTAAGCATATTTCATATAACATACCATATACCTAAATTCAACCGTTTTTGAAATATTTAAAATATTTTTAAGATAAGAGGTTGAAATAGTTTGTCTTTCTCTGTCTGAGTACGCAATTTTTACTTATTTAACAAGACATATTGACATAATGTCACTATAGTAATTTATTTTCATTAAAAATTTTGGGATACTGAGGCTTCTTGATTTTTAACATTGAAATTAGGTATAGGTATGGTTTGTTATATGAATTATGTTAAGAATTTTACAAGGAAGCGAAAAATAAATTCATATATAGGGTTATCAATTGAAAAAAAATAAACTTTTTGTTTTCCCTGTATATTGATCAATTTGCAATTTTTTTTAATAAGTGGAAAAAGTATTTTTTTAGTACTATAATTTTTTGGGACACTTAAAATAAAAAAGTTAAAGGGGGGCAACATTATAGGGGATCACGCTGTACATGTACTTTAGTAAGTAACAAAAATAATTTACTACCATTTTAAGCATACAATTTCGGAAAATAACAAACTCACATAATGTGAGTCATATTCATTATGATAGAAATATTACAAAAAAGCATGTTTTTTATGGTAAAATTTGAAAATTTAGTGAATTTCTGTTAAAAATAAGAATTTAGGTGAAATAGGTAAAATTACACTAGTTTTAGTTATGATTAGCGTAGACAAATAGGTAATAACACTAAAATCCCATCTCTACTCATTAATTATGTTGCTCAGAGGAACTGATAATGCTTCATTGACATATTTTAATATCTTTGCACTCACCTCATCTATACCTGGTTTTTATAATTGCTGATTTTACATCTTTTGGAATAACTGGAAATAAATAACAGCTATTAAGTATTGCAGACTTAAAGATTCAATATTTGGTAAAATTCTGTTATTTGAAAGACTCAAAAAATAATCATTAAACATATTACATTTATCTGTTATCTGTAATAATTTGTCTTGGTTTTTAAATTGGATAATTGGATATTATAATATTTTTATTTTATTTTTTATGTTCCAACTATCTTTAACTATGTACTCGAGTTTCTAATTGTTTTCACCAATATGTTTATGCAAATTATCATTAAACCAGTGTTTTGTATTGTTTTTCACTTTTGTCTTACAAAAAGGAAATAAAGTAGGTATAATAATAATAAATAAACCTATTATAAAAATTGTTAAATTTTGTACTAAAATCGTTCTCCAAATACACACAAAAATATATCATTGTGTAACAAACAAAGTCCTATTAAAACAATTAACACGTCCGCTTTTCGTTTTATTTTGAACTCGTGCATTTAATTTGAATCAGTTAGTCGCATCTCCGCATAATCAGAGTTTAATTAAAGTTGGAACAGGAAGCTGACTTGCACTTCTCTAAATAAATCATTTTGCATTTGAAATAGTTTGACACATGTCTTTAACAATTGCAATACAAAATTACCATGAAAACGTTACCCACTTAATTCCCACTGTGGGAATGCCACACCATTTTTAGAAATGAAACTATGTATGTATAACTAATTCTTTTTACTAAATCAAAATAATAAGAATCCTGAGTATAAAAAGTTTAGTTAGGTTACAGTATTGAAAGTCGAATAAAAATATTAACTTAAGTTTTTTATTCTTTTTTTAAGTTAAAGATGTTTCCCAACTCACTATGCAAACGTGGTAACAAGTATGTATCCATCCCTAGAGAACAATAAATTTGTCTGAGGAGATCGTCGTATATAATTTTGGAAAAACTAATTTCCAAAAATGAAATTAGGAAGACTTTCTTAAAATTATATTATTGGATTCATTTGAAATGACGCGTTTAGCAGTGCAAATATTTATAAAAAAATATATTTACAAATTAATATTTTTAAAGGTTTCTAAAATAACCCCTGTTTTAAAAAAGGGTGACAATTCTCTAGTTGAAAATTATAGGCCTATATCAATCATTTGCAATTTTGCTAAAATATTTGAATCAATTATCTACTCAAAAATATTCTCCCAGGTCAAAAATTTGCTTTCGCCACACCAACATGGTTTTATGGAAAAGAGATCTACTACAACCAACCTTGTTTGTTTTACACAATATTCTAGTAATTACTTGATAATCGAGGTCAATTGGATGTAGTATATACCGATTTCCAGAAAGCATTTGATCAAATTGACCATTCATTACTGATTAAAAGGCTATACAACTTTGGGTTTAGTAATACCATTGAGTAAAGAATGGTTATAAACTCATTGATCTTTTAACATCGTACTTAATAAATAGACAACAGATTGTTTCATTTAAAGGTTTTTGTTCGAATTCTTTTATATCCACGTCGGGAGTGTCACAGGGTTCTAATTTGGGCCCTCTTCTGTTTCTTATGTTTATTAATGATCTTCCTGATAGGATACATTGTCTTAAGCTTATGTATGCAGATGATCTAAAAATATACCAGGAAATACAAAGTCTGGGCGATTGTGTAACACTCTAAGATAACCTTAATATACTAGATAAATGGTGCATAGATAACAGGTTAAAACTAAATATTGCAAAAAGAAACCTGTTTTTTAACTATCAAATTAACGGCATCTCTTTAAAATTAATTGGTTTTTTCAAGGATCTTGGTGTGTTGTTTGATCATAAACTTGAGTTTGTTTCGCACATCAATAATATTGTTAAATCGGCTTTTAGGACACTTGGATTTATAATAAGAAACAGTAGAGGGTTTAATGAATCTCAAACAATGCACTTATTGTATTTTACATTGGTGCGAAGCAAATTCTAGAACGCCAGAGTGGTCTGGTCGCCCATATATGCTTGTCATACAAGTCTATACATAGACGGTTCCTAAAGTATTTAAGCTTTAAATTTCATGGCTTTTATCCTGTGAAAGGGTACGATCACATTACTTTATTAAACTCTTTTAATTTTGTATCATTGTCCACCAGAAGAGAGATTCTATCCGTAACTTTTTTGTACAAGCTTGTAAATTTTAAAATAGATTGTTCTGATTTATTAGCTTCTGTTGAATTTTTAATTCCTAGAGCTGGTAGTCGCCTGAGCCATACTTTTAAGTGTCCATTTGCTCGCACTAATGTTCTAGCCCAATCACCTTTATATCTGATGTTTTGTTATTTTAACAAAATTTCAGCAAACGTGATATTAACCATTGTTCTTTAAATAATCGTTTGGGCTATTTTTGCTTCACATAATGTTGGTTACATGTCTAATTTTTTAATTATGTATGTTCACTTTTAGTTTAAGTTTTGGGTACCATATAATTAATTTTTTTTCTGTAAACCTCTGTAATTTATTATATGAATGTCCTGTTTTGGTGTAAACTGTTGGGCAATAAAGTTTATATTATTATTATTATTATTATTATTATTATTATTATTATTATTATTATTATTATTATTATTATTATTATTTAGTAAATGCAACGATTTTGTAAAAATCGTAATAATAATAATCTACAAATTTTTTACTGTACCTATCTATACGTTTTCCAGAATTTAAAGGTGAATTGAGACTAAAATCTTCAATAAAACAACGAATCTACCTTTTTATCTTTATAGGTTTTTCAAAATAAGAATCCTGACTTGTTTGAGGTTACGATATTCCCTGCTAGTAAAAACAAATATTTTTTTTTAATTCAAGGTTTTAGAATTATTTTTATTTTTTTTTCACCTATTTCATGGTTACGGATGGGACATTATTATGTCAACTTTCATTTTCAAAATTAATTTTGCCTTAAATAAGAAATCATTAATTGCCAACGATGATATCTATGGAAACCTTTATTAAGTATCTCTGGTTTGCATGATAGGCAATTTAAATATATCCTTCTAATTTGCCTACAAAATGTTATTTAAACTGATTACGGATGGGACGTGAAATGAGACAATTAAAGTTTACTTGTAAAATAAGTTTTGATTATTTTTTTTTACAAATATAGTGTAAGGTACACTATATATTTTCTCGTAACCCGATTCTTTAAGTATACTGAAATACTTGTTTTGGCATATTCGTGATCGTCTAGTTAATTTACTTACTTTATAAAAATTAGGACTCTACGTTGTGTATTTACTTACATTGATAATAACGTTATTTTGAAATTGGTCAGGTTTAATGAAACAAAAGTATTTAATTTTAACCCCTGATTTAATTTAATCAAAGACAAAGGGGTGGCCCGTTGAGTCAACAAAGCACAGGGAAAAGGGAC